AGTTTGGGGTCTAATGGAACTGCAGGTACTACCCCCTCTCCCTACAGCTGGCATTACTTTCAATGGGGTTCGCCTGGTTCCCCAGAGGGTCGGTATTTTTATCCACCCTATGCCATTCAGCCGCAGCTCGAGCGCCCTTGGGTGCCTATCAGGTTCATCATTTCTATCTCACATATGTCAACGGTATATATATGGATAGAAGCGACGAACCCCGCCTCTTTCGTCCGTGAATCCAATCGAACTCTCCGGGGGAGTGCCACATGGAGGTGACAGTATGCATTGATAAGGATAAGGAGTACAAGCAGTGGGTAGTGCACTAACGCTCCATTGCTCCGTGAAGAGTTGGGGAGATTCCCGCACCCATCTCCCTCTCTAGACCTCCCATTACCCCCTACCCATTTGCCCCCCAACTTTGTAAAAATCTTATTTTAATAAATATTTGTTTACGTTCTCCCATTGATTTATTGAGAGATAAATAAATTGAAACTCCAAACCATTATTGATTTTACACGTTAATTATAAATACTAAAAATACAATTGAAAAACCATGACCTCGGTCGAGATGGCAAAATTCTCGGGAAGTTATACGTTCAATGCAGGCTATAATGCCAATGGAGATCATTCATGGGTCTTTTTTTTATATTCAGTTTTGAACTCTGCAGCAACCAGAAATTTAGTTTAGAGATATCCAATTGCCGATTAGTAGTATTGTTCAAAAATTCGATTTTACAGATAGTTCAGGAACGGTTGAGTTGCCTTCTAATTTTTAACTGTTAATATTGGTGAGTGATAGATACCTTTATATTATTTAAATTATATTTTTATTTAAAGCATGTGGCAATGGTTGTAGCAATTCATTGGCTTTCAACCACCCGTTCGTCCGACCCGTGGTGCTCCTTATATATAGTCCTGGGGCTCATGACAAAACAGGTGTCATATTTCATACTAAGGTTTGTTCTTATAAATTAACCACATACACAGGCCTGATGAGAAAAATTCATGTCTACCAGCATATAGCCGCTGGAATACAAAATGGCGGCCATGTAAAGATAGAAGAGATCTCACATAGGTTGGTTGCAAGTGTATATATGGAGAGCTTATAGATATATAAACTACCAACACTTTCAATTTATATTATTTACAGTCTTAAGACCTGAAATAAAAGTCAGTTACCCCATACTCGTAGATTTCAAGTCGAAAAATTGAATTTGTAATTCAAAAAGTTTACTTTTTTTGGTTTTTTGTTTATATCAGTGAAACTATGCATTATGTCTAGAATAGTGTGATATGTGAAATTAAAGCTGACAAAATTTGCAATAGAAATAGTTATATTAGTTTATTCACTATATTCTATAGTTTCTGTGATATTCGTCTTCGTAATTCACTAATTTCGAGAAAAAAAAAGTTTGCATCGCATTTTTATCATTATTTGCCTTGATAGTTCGTGCATATTTTTCAATCACCCTTCTTGTATATTGGCGATATGTAACCAGCCCTCAGGTCATCTGGGATATCCTCTCCTTTTAAAACAAGGTTAATTACCTCTGTCAAAAGGGCTACTAGTTTCGCACAGCCAGCTTTCAGGAGCTCCATAGCAATTCCATCTGGTCCTGGAGATGTGCCAGTTTTCGCTTGTGCTAGCGACCCACGAACATCTCAACTGATTGTTCAACTGCTTCAGAATCTGAGTTATCTCTCTCATACATAAACTGGGGTCTATCCTCACTAAGGAAGGTTTTATAGTGGTTTTTCCACTCCTTTTCCTTAATAGGAGATAAGATATTTCCCTATCTTGACACCTGCATCTTTCTCAGTACTCCTCAGGACTTTCGGATTCGATTAAAACCTTGGGTACTGTTTAATTGCTAGCAACATTTTTTCCCATGCATCATTCTTGGCTATTGTCACCTGCTCTTTTACCTTCCAATTGAGGGTTCTATATGCTGTCCAATGATCTTGCCTGGTGGAAGAAAGATACTTTCCATAGGCAAGCTTCTTTTCCTCCATCGTCTGGGCTACTTCCTGTGTACCAATCCGGCACACGTCGCTCCTCCTCACCAAGAGCCTCTCTCACTGCGGAATGGACACATTCCCTTAGATGTTCATATTTCTCCTGCTGAGCTCCTGCTGTTCGCCCGTAGGAAATGTCTATTCTCTCTTCCAACCCCTTCATTTGTATAGGGTCCTGACACTCATATCTCCGATATAAAAAATAAAATTTGTATATATAAGGGTAATTAAACAAATAAAACTACCCACAATGAAATGTAAATAAATATAGTGTCTTTAATTTTTACTTTCACTTCCCCTTTGAAAATACTTATTTCTGCTAAGAAGAGGGTGGTGGTAAGTGAAAGTCGTGTGATTTTTTATTTATGTTGCACCAGATTTTTTATTTCCAAACCTAGAGGCTTTGGCAATTATGTTTGGTAATTATGTTATGCTCTTCGACTAGCATCTCATCCTCATCAAGTTGGAAAACATTCTTCAGTCCGTTGTATGCTCTGAGGGGGATAGCAACCACCTTTCCTTCTGAAACCCTGAAAACTTGACAAGTCATGATTGCCATTTTCGTTTTGGTAAGTATTATGGCTGTGATGAAGTCATTTTTACTTGTGAGACCTGTGTCCATTTCTGCTGAAATTTTGACTTCTTCTATGTTTTTTTGTTCGTGGCAATGTTCAGTGTAATTTTGTTCAAAAATTGCAACTGCAACACCATTTTTCACAGCATCGAGAGCTGCTAACATTTGACTCTTTTCACATATTTTTCTTTCTAAAATTGGGTTCTTTTTTATCTGGTATTTGTTTTTCTTCTCACAGGAAATTCTTAGAACCTTTTAAAATGCTAACCTTCACATTTGAAAATTATAGCACATCATCAGGTAGTAGTAACAAAATGTGTCTAAAGAATCGAAGCTCATAAACATTACATTAACATCAAAGCTGATAAAATAAGTAAAATTTTACATCAACCTTCTTAGAAAAATCCATAAGATTTCGGCAACTGACGTGAAATGACCAGAAATATAGGTTTCCCATCTGATGTATCATGGATTGGAGACTTTATCTTGGCGGGAATCGGTGGCTGATTAATGTTCTTTTGAAGTTTTACCAAGTTTAAAATTCTACATGAACCTAAATGCTTATTTTATCAATTTTAAGTTACAAGTGCCAATAATAGGTTCCTTTACCATATATACTACTTTACCCTATATTTTTATCTATACATAAAAATTTCTAATTGTCACCCAGAGTGTCGCCTCATTTCTATGTAACTTTCCAGTTCTCGAAAAAAAAAAAAAAAAAAAAATGATTTGTCAAGCTCAAATATTAATGTAGTGATAAAACATGATTATAACATCACAGATATCCTGAGGCAAATACTTCGAGATTTTTTAAATAACTATAACACTGTGGGGACTATTGTCAACTTATTTTTTACCCAAGACTGCTCCAATTTAATAGATGATGCATACTGTTGTTTTGCCTTCTTTTGCATTTTAATTTTTTTAACTGCCTACTTTATGACTACAACAATTTGATACGTTTTCTTATTTAATGATGTTTTTCGCAGCTTTTTAAATTTACTTTATTTTCAAAATAGAGTACAAAAAAAATAAAAACTTGTTTATTAAGTTTGCATGCTGCTGTTTTGCAAGTATTTTTTATAAAAACCCTCCATAATTTTTAGTAACATAAGTCCTTGTGTATAGGGTTTTAGCCTGTTGGTCCCCTTTAAATTTAAGAATAGATACAATGGACCAGATAGAGAAAATAATCTAATAATTATAATAAAGTAGCTTTTATATGTGCAATTAATTAAACTAGTGGAGCAATGTTTCGTGTAGTTTATTTTATTTAGTCTGTCTTAACCTATATTTGTGTACCAAAATTGTACATAATTCACAGTTCTCTTCAGTCTTATTTAATGTATAATTTCAGATTTATTCCAAAAATATGCCCTCTTCTTTTGTTAGTTCTTTCTCTTTTGTTTAGATATCCATGCTTAATAAATTTTCTAAAATAAAGGTTTTTCATATTGGAGGCAATGACTGTAATTTAGTTGGTCCTTAAACAATATTCTGCAAAGGTTAGTTCATTATATAGAACTTGATTAGAACTTCTTTAGGTAATTCTTCTAGATATAACTGGTCTTTGTACGAAATAAGCAGTCTTAATTCAAAATACTTGTTAACAAGATTCAGTGCTGCAGAAATTTTTTTTTACTTTATGCAGGAGTTTTCTGCTTTTGTAACTGAGCATAAAAAGCAAAAGCCACAGCCACTATAGCCGATTCAATTACTGTAACCAATTTATAAGGAAAAAACCTCAAACTTTCTAATAAAAATTAAAGAATAATCTGTTGCATATCTAATTTCTTTGTAATGATCTTGAAGCTACCTTGAACACTGCACTTTAAGAATTCCTGATTTATATTATTAGTTATAAACATTTAAGTATGATTTTTCTAGATATGTATAATTTACACGTTTATTACTCATACAAAAAGAATTAAAAATTAAAATTTTAATCATGGAACTAAAAATATATATATATTTTTATTATTGAAAAATTCCAGACTAGGCCTTAAGTCTCTCAAATAGCAGTTAATAACTAACCAGTCAATGTTTTGCTAATTCAGACATCATCAGGACTGAAAACCATAATATTACAACAATGCAGACCAGAGATAGCAGATCTTACTTCAAGAGCCTAAAACAGAATAATGAAATAGAGGTAGTATATTGCCCATAAACAGTTGAACATTTACTGCACTGTTTCTGTTATTCTCATCATGTATTTTAACTAATTTAGTAAACTTTTCACATTTTCTTCTTGAAATAATTCATGACAAATAACAAAATTCAGCTATGACCAGTGTAATATTACTACCTCATTCCAACAGACTGTATCTAATTTAGAAAATCATTATATTTGACATGGTTTGTTTTAACTTTGAACTTCTCAATTTATGTTTTTTTTTTTTATTATTTTCAGAGGAAGTTAATTTTGGCAAGCCAGTTGTCTTTCAACCAGCAACATTTTTGCAAGTAATGTATAACAAGGGTACAGCACTGTTATTCACAATGAAACCTATTGAAGCTTTTGATTGTTTTACTGAAGCAGTGCAAGGCATGCATAAAGCCCCACTGATATGGCTTCGGCTAGCTGAATGCTGTATAATGGCCTATAAAAAGGTATGTTTTATGATAAGTATGATACCGTTGAATAAAAAATGATGGCCTTTTTATATGCATGGATTCTTCTGCCCTTTAAGTAAAGAACTTTCAAAAGTTGTAATGTATATAGCCATCATTTTATTTATTTCTTTTTAAACATTCACAAGAGAGATAAAAAACTCTCCGCTAACACACAAAGTGAATTTATGACCTTAACCTTAAAACAGTACTATCTTATACAATTCTAAATACGTTCAAGTATTTTGAATTTTATAAAGTACTAGCTTTACCCGGCCACGCGCTGCTGTGGCATGGTCTGCCAAAATGAAAAAGAAAGAAAATAGGAAGCACATATGAGTAGATTAGTAGCAAAGGTTATATGTCATTTTTAAAAAGTTGGGAAACAAATTTGTCTGTAAAATGGCTTCAATTTAAACTAATTCTAATGATTTTTTTTCTCATGATTCAAATTGAACATTCATAATCATCTGAGTGAATACACCGTCATTCATAATCATCAGAAACAGTCTGAGTTGAACTTATCAAACTAATAAAAAAACGTATACTAGTATTGACCTACATAAGGAGAATCATATAACTTCTTCAATTGATAATTTCGATTACTGTAGTAATTATAAAATTTTCGATTAATCAATAAAAAAAAAAAAAAAAATGCTTGCCAACCTTTGGTAGTGATGAAGCAATAGGAAACAGCCTTTTCTGAAGAGAAAGCAGTAAATGTTTAAAACTCTATAACTGTGCAACGAACCATCCGATTTCGATGATTTTTTTTTTATTTTGTCAGCAATTCAGAAATCTTTCATATAAATATGGGTATTATCGATCAAAAATTGTTTAGCTATCGGCAAATAGAATATTGAATTCATCGTAACATTTTTCAGCTTGTTTTCGGGAAAGTATGTTATACACATAAATTAAAAGGGTTTCAAGGGGAAGACTTTAGCCAAGTTTCGTTAAAATCGGTAAAGTCGTTTTGGCGCTACAGTTTATAGCGACATATTTTTTTGTGGCTTTGAACAGAAAAATATTTACATTTTTATTTTTTTTACATATATAAAATTATCGTAAGATAGAAGTACTATGCCAGAAACCTTTCCAGGAGTGTACGGAACAATTTCCCAAAGTTTCATGGCGATCGGTTAAAAATGGTTTAGTAATGCACTAAGGACAGACAGACATACATTCATTTTTGTATATATAGATAAAACAATTTTATTTATGTAGTGTTAATAAAACACATTATGTATGTTGACCTTAAAACAGTACTACCTTGTAAAATGAAAAACTCAAAACTTCTGTTATGATATATTCATCCTTACTAAACTAGGTAACTAAATGTTTTCCTTTAATGTTGTTTGGCTCTGGGGTTAGCATACCTTTCAGTGCTAGTAGTGCTTGTGCCAAGCATTCCTAATTTCTAGTCAGCTTGAACAAGCAGTGCTGTGCTTCCAGGTGATCAGCCCCGTGGAAGTCTCCTTAGAGTCAAAGGACAATTTTGCAATATCTTCATTTTGAATACGGCCAACATAGGAGAAGGAACCAGAATTAAAGAATGCCTACTATCAAGATCTAGAGCAGGCATATGATTGCATACTGTGGCATGACCTGAAGATAGTGCTTGGAGAGTTCAACCACAAATTGGAAGGGAAATGGAGTTTAAATTTGAAACCACTATTGGTAACAGTTTGCACAGCAGATCAAATGGTATTGGAGAAAGGCTAGTAAACTTCTCTATAAAAACGAAGAGCCTTGCTAAAAGAGGTAGATTAAATTGAATCTTCCAGAAAAAATAACGAAATAAGAAAATGTTTTGGATGATTAATACCTTTAAGGACAGGTATTGTAACCAAAATACAGTGGTTAATGATGATAAGGGAGAGCTATTGGTCACAGGAGAAGAAGTGTGAGATCAATGGAAAAAACATTTTCAGAACCTTTTAAAACGTGAACAGGAGGAGTTAGAACTCATTTATGCAGTAATGGAAAGCAATGAAAGTGACAAAGAAGTAACGCCTGATAAAGAGGATATTATGGAGACAATAGCAGGAATGAGAAATCATATGGCACCTTGAACGGATGGTCTTCTAGTGGAATTGGAACAAATAAAACAGGTTGTTTTGGTGATGAAGTAGGATGATTTGTAACATCAAAGTCTTGAATGAATGAATAGCCTAAACCAATATAGTCCGGGATTTTAAAAATCGCAAAAAGTGCCAAAAATTACGTAATCAGCAGCAGGAAAAAAAAACAATTAGAATAGTTTTATACAACTCAGTAGATGACAGATTTAAAATAGTAAAAAAAAAAATTACATTGTTTAAACACATAGGATGGTTAATGGTTAAATAATAACATGGTTTTTATGTGTCCTTTATACAATTTTGGATTGTTTGCACTTTTTTTGATCATATTGACTAACTTTTTTGATTAATCTAATAGATAGATTGAAATAGTTAGCAGGGAAAACTCTTGGACCAACGGATGCCAATTTTTTGACATGTCACCCCGCACGTAATAAATGCTACAATCTCCAAAAGTTTCTAAATATTGGTCAGATTTTATTAAATCAGATTACTACAAAGTAGTCTGAAACTATTTGCTTCTCGAAATCGTGAAAGGTAACCGAAATGTCAGATTTTTACCAAATTAGTTACCTACTAAGTGGTATAAAACTATTTCAACCCGTTTTTGTCCTGCTGCTGATCGTATAATTTTTGATAGATTTTTCAAATTTGCATGCCAGATTCGTGAAAAGCTTCTAAAAAATGTATTCAGATTTTATAAAATAACAGTTATAAAACTGTCAGATTCGTGTAAAGCTTCCAAAATTTTGTCTGACTTTATTAAATCTGTTACCTACAGATTGATCTGAAACTATTCCAATTGGTTTTTGCCTGCTGCTGATCACGTCATTTTTGGCACTTTTTGAGATTTTTAAAACTATCAGATTTGTATACAGTTTCTAAAATTTTATCTGACTTTTTTGAATTGTCATTTACTGAGTTGTCTGAAACTATTCCAGTAGGTTTAGGTTTTTTCCTGCTGCTGATCACGTAATTTTTGTCAGTTTTTGTAATTTTTGAAATTCTACTATAGCCAAATGCTTCCAATTAGCCGTCTAACTCTAGGGGTTTAGGCATTAGGGTTGTCATCTCCAGTGTTTTCAATTTTCAAACCTTCTGCCGCTGATCACGTGGTTAAATATTCGGTAGATCCTGGACTAATAGTTTTTGGTTATCTTCGTAACCAATGTGTGTGTGTGTGTGTGTGTGTGTGTGTGTGTGTGTGTGTGTGTGTGTGTGTGTGTGTGTGTGTGTGTGTGCTGTGCTGTATCGGCCTTAGACCCCCGGGCAATGACTATGACGTCATCTCTCCTCCCCTAAAAAAATGAAATTTATTTCTTAACCTGTTTTATACTATGTAATAATTTAATTTTATTTCATTCAATATTTCTCTAATATGGTTGCTTTATTGATGGGCTAAAATTAATTATTTTAAGACATTTTGTATTTTTGTTTTAATTATTAACAAGTAGTGATTGCCCCTCCAGATTGGTGCTCCGGTTGTCCCGCCCGAAGGCCGGCACTGTGTTTTTGTATATTTGGAATACTGTATATTTGAAAGATAAAAAAAATACCTAACCAACAAACAAAAGTTTATTGAAATCAGACAAATGGTGTTTGGTGCAGAGAAATGGTGTTTTGAATCTGTTCTATTGCAAAGCCATTTCTTTTTATTTTATAACTGAAATACTTTTATATATAAAGTTGGTACTATTAACTGAAGAATAATTTGATTTTCAAGTTTTTAAAACAAAGTATGAATAATTAATGAGACAACTTTTATGTAATTATTCAGAGAATTGGTAGGAATAATGTTGTGTGACACGCAACACATTCCTATATGATTTATTGATTTATAAATATTTGATTGTGCATTTACAGTCAAACGTGAGCAAAAAATTCTAATAGGATGCATTAAAAAAAAAAAAAAAAAAATGACCGTTTTTCAACCAAATATTTGTATTATTATTTCTTTGATATAAAATACAATTATTACTCAAAGTATAGTCCATTGTTACCTACCGTCATTAGCCATCTGCTAGCTAATTGCTCGATCCCATGCTGGTACCAACCATTCTTTGGGATGGCTGTCAAAGAACTCTTGGACCACAATTTCAACTTTCCCAAAATTATCAAATTTCATTTGAAAAAATGGGCCATGGATATAAATAAATAGTAATCCGATGGTGCAAGGTCTGGACTATATGGTGGATGAGGAAGGAGTTCGAACTCATGAAGTTCTTTAAACTGACAACGTATAATCTTTCCAGTTGTTCGTATTAGAGTTCAGAATTCATAGATCATCCATCAGGAACAAAGTCATGATAAATAACACCTTCAAAATTCCAAAAAACACAGCATGGATTTTTGTTCGAATTGTTCCCTTGTAGCAACCGGAAAAGCAGTTTGCCTGTGATCTAGCCGTAGCTCATGGGTATTCGGATTTTGCCAGTGTTGGGGCCAGGGGTACTTCAAAATTGAAGTACAAATCTTTCTCCGCTGTGTTTCCTCAATGGTGGGAAAAATTTGAATAAAATTAACAATGTTGGGAAAGAAGGAAAAAAAAGAGTGAATAAAAATGAGACCTGTAAAACATGAAAAATACATGCACATCAAAACATCAAAATAAAAATATTCAATCAATTCAAAATGTTAAGATAAACAAATAAAATAATCCTCTTCTAAATGTTTACAATTTATGGAATAATAAAAAAAAAGAGATATAAATTTATACAAAAGTTGAAATGAACAATACTGGAAAGTTACGAGAAAAATAAAAGATAAATACAATATCCAGTGAAAATAAAACAAAATTAACCATTAATAACAAAATATAAATAAACTCAACTTCAAAAATTATAGATAAAACAAGAGAAAAAAAAATAACTGTCCAAAAAGAATAACTAATTTAGCGAAGAAAACAATTCAAATTAATATTTAAATGTCTTGGTGATGGTGAGAATATAAAACAAAATGAGCTAAGTTGGAGGTTCTGCTCCCAACCTGTTACCTTCCGATATCTAGCTGTCAAGTAAACGATGGTGGGGTGGTATCGATCTCGATTACTCTGCTCCTCCCAACAGCTGATCTTCAAAAATGGTGCTAGACTGGTGAGTTGAGGTGAAGTGAGTCTGGACTGGTGGGGGTAGACATCCACTGCTGTATCGACAAAGGCTAGTTCCAGACTGAGGACAGTATTATCGCAGTATTTGTGTCTTAATCCCTAAGACAGGGTATTACTGCCGGGCTGGTGTGTATATACAGCGCGATAATACTTCGCAAAATAACCTAAAGCTATAAACAATACAATTCTGGGACAATTATCCCTCAGGTTTTACCAAAAAAAATAAATAAACATTTTCTTCATTAACATTTAAAAGGGTAAATATGGTGAGAGAAAAAAATAAGATCTGAACGTATGCAGCGTTAATAGCCAGTAAATCCACTTTTCGTCACAGGTGACAATCTTACCGTAAAATATCTTACCAAAAGAGGTTTTCAATAAATTTTTACAAATTTCTAACCTCTTAGCTGATTGCTGAGGATTATGTTATTGTGGGACCAGCACGTTTCGACACACCACACTCCCTGGTAAGTTTGTGAGTACTTGTAGATGGATTTGACTTAACAGCTTCCTGTAGAACCTCATCAATATCCATTCATGGTCGCCTGGAGCCCTTCTTCCTTTCCAGCATCGTATCTCCAATGCTAAGTTTTCAAATCAATGCCGCCCAGTGCGCTGGTCAAGGACAACTTCCCCTTCATATTTAATAATTTCACGAGCTGCTTCAGCATCTGTGAATTTTTTTCTAATAATGCCTTAAAATTATGAGAATTTCATAGGACACTGTCATGTTTCTTCTTTGAAATTTCAAGAAGTCGAATGGAATTAAACAAGCTTAGAGAATGCTCTGAAGAGATTATTAAGTGTTGGTAAGTATTGAATAGGATTAAAATATTAAAAATACAGTCCTTTGAAATCTTAAATTTGATAAAACAGACATTTTTTTTTTTTTTTATGCACCCTATTATTAAAACTGATAAAATCAATGGACATGTCGAGTAATGCACATTGTGGAGCCAGTAATGGACATGGTCGGGCCTATTCAGTGGGTCGATTTTTGATTCAGTGATGGACACCCTAGAAGTCGTTAAAAGCATTAATTTCAATTAAATTTAATGCTAAAATAATTATTTTGTTTTTGAAGTAATTATAATCTTTATAAACATATAAACATTATAATACTGTAATGTTTTTCTCATAATATTTTATTTTCCTTTTCATGATTTTGACTTATGGTTAATCAATTTTCTTCCAGCACTTAATATAACATGAAACAAAAAGTTTTATCACCATTCAAACTAAAATAACAAAATGGTTTTTCTAAGTAATAATCCATTTTGTTCTATAATGCTAATTGTTGCAGTTTACTGCCAAAATATGAAACTTTTAATTTTAATTTTGTTTTCAGGATAATGAAGGTTTATTTAACTTTATTCAAAATAGGAAGCTGTTAGTTAATGAATCAGTTGGAAGTGGTTTACAAAAGAAGATTGTATTAAATAGTAAATTATATAAGGATTCAGCTTTTAGGTAATACTTTGTGCTATTTGAAATCTTTAAAAAATATTTTTATGAAAATAATATTAATATTAAATGTTGATTGATGAATAGAAATGATTGATTATGTAAACTCCTTTATTACTAGGCATTCATTGTGATTAATATATGCCTTTTTACAAGGTCATGACAACTGGTTTAGTATTTTTATTTGTTTTATTTATATTTTGATTTTTGTAATTGATAACAAAAAATTAAATAAACGAACCCCATTTTATTTATTGAGTGATGTTACTAAAATACATTGTGGTGCAGCATATTTTTGTTTTTATCTTTTTTGGCTTTAAGACTTGTCAAAGCAAGTCCTATTTTGCCAATAAAATATTTTAATTGTCATTGTAAGATGAAATTAAACTGGATATTTATTGAATATTTCTAGATATATGATTATTGATTGTAAGATGAAATTGAACTAGATATTTATTGAAAATTTCTAGATATTTGATCACTGAATGTAACTTATATAGAACTTGAACTAGAAAGGCTAATAGTTAAAAACTGAGGAAAAAGTAGTTTCATAACAATTAAATGAGAATAAAAGGCAACTTATTATATAACTGCTTTTATATCATTCAAAAACTTAATCAAATCATGAGCATTATCTTTATTCATCGACTGAAGAAAGTTAGCTCCATCATCCGTAGTTTGGGATCCTAAACTAATTCTTCTTCACCTTTCGAATCTTTTGCACTTGAAGACAATGTGTCTTGGATCCTCCAAGCATTGGCATGTTAGACAGTGACCGCTCTTAACTATACCCATTAGATGTAGATATTTATTAGTTTTACCATGATTTATTCTAAGCCTGGTCAGCTTTACTAAGCTGGAGCGGTTATGATGAAATTTAAGACTCGCAAACCATGCAACCAGTGCTATCTTCTGTTGAATTGTATGGTGGTCCTTACCTTTAATGCACATTCCCAATCGTAGAAATGCTGCCAGTCTATCATTATTTTTCCCTTCACTACTCTTATCAAATTCAGTAAATTATCAAACCTTAGCATTTATCTGATGTAGTTGGTTTTGATTCACAATTTTGTCTGCCATTCCATTTCCTGATATTTCTACATGTCTCGGCACCCTCACTGGAAAGAGTAATTGTTGCTGGTGTTGTGTATTAGTGATATGATTTTAAAGGAAATGTTTGTCTGTGCTTTATTTTGATAGATTAATTTTAGGTGTTTACATGTAGTTGCTGAGTCTGTCAGAATAATTATTTTTTGGTTGATGTATGTCTTTTCGCTGTATATTATGGTGTTAAGAATGGCATATAGTTCGGCGCTGAAAATACTGAATTTAACTAGTAATGAAAATTTCTGGTTCTTTTGGGGATCATACACAGCTACAGACAGACACTTGTTTTTGATGCTTCCATATAAACTTGTAGATAATTAGGGTAACGTTCCGTGATTGTGTTCAGTGCTAATTGTTTCAAATAAATTGATGGGTAGGAACTTTACTTCTCTACTTTACTAGCAAAATTTGGGAATGGGCATTGAGTATTCCAGAGCTTCAGAAATGTGTAGAGATTTGAAAAGAGGCTGTAATTCCTTGATAATGACGGATAGTTGGGACCTTTTCCACTTCTAATTTCTTTACCTACAGGATGATTAATACGAAGGGAGAAAACCTTGATGAAAACTGCATATTTAGAATAGAATAGAATAGAACAGAAAAATAATTTTATTCTGGGACGAAGTCCCTTCAGAATAACAAAAAAGTACAGAAATTAAAATTTTACATCTGGCCAGATAAAAACAAACATAACAAATTAAGATAATGATAGGCCATTAAAGAAAAGAAAAGAAAAAAATATTGGTTATACATACTATATACAAAATAAAAAAAAAAATCTATATAAAAAACTCTTGAAACCATACTAAGATACTTAAAACTATGTACAATGTTAAAATATAAATAAACCCTTTTAGAAAAAATAAAAAATACAGAAAAAATAAATGTAAATTCTTCTTAACAGTAAAATCTGTTTCTGTTGCAAAAAAAAAAAAAAAAGAGAGAAAAAGAAAGTCAAATCTATAATAAGTATTCAGGTCATGAGCTATATGTGAATATGGTCTTATAGGTAATATGTAATTTTACATAAAAGATTAGCTGGTGCCTGGCTGTTTTTGGGACAGGAATTGGAATAGGAGGGTTTTGAATGTAGATAAGGATGAAGAATGTCGAATTTTGATAGGAAGGGAATTCCAGAAACTAACAGAACGTGCAATAAAGGAGTTTGGGAACAAGGCAGATCTGTGAGAAGGAATGTAAAGGTCGGAAGGTCGAGATCTTGTGGAGAGGGAGTGGACTGAGGACTTGAATTGGAGAAGGTTGTAGGCGTAGGAAGGACGATGATTGTTGATGATATGATAGAGGATATCACATTTATTGGTTAAAATGTGATACTGTCAATCCGGGATTTAAATACTTTGCTGATGAGTATTTGTCAACAAAGTAAAAGGTACTGGAATTGTTGATAAACCTGGAAGGATGAATCCAATGCAGAGCTATAGATAAGCCATGAAGTAGAATTACAGCACATGTGCGATCTCTATCTTTATGTAGCAGAGTAAAGTGATGATGTGTTACTGGTTGACATACTAATCACAGATTAAAAGACAATATTATAAAAAAATTAACTGATTATTTATTCTTTAATTTATAAATTTAATTTCATATTTGTTTTGAAATTATATGTTTTTTACTGGTTCTACAAATTTTTTTACTTGTGAGTTTTCAGTCATCCTCTTTAATTGTTGCACCCTATATCACAGATAATTAGGAGTTAACTGTATACAGTACATTGCCGCTTATCTGGAACCTAATTATCTGGACATCTGGTGAATCCAGATGGGATTAAAAGAAAAATAATTGAAGTTTAGAAAACTAAAATTTTATGTGAACAGTGATTATGAAAATAATTCAAAATATTTGTTTTAATTGAGCCGGCTTGTAATTTTTAATAATAATTAATGTAATTTTTAATATTAATAATAATCATTAGTGTAATTTTTAATATTAATAATAATAATTATTGATGTAATTTTTTTAAATATTTAAATTGTACTTTTTAACTTTTCCTCTTTTAATATTAATTTTATTTTTTAAACCATATTTAAATGTCTTTGTTAACTTATCTTTTTCTAATGTTTAATATTTAATTTTAATGGTTTTCTTTAACTTTTCTTCTTGTACTTTTTTATATTTAAACTGTACTCTTTAACTTCTCTTCTATTAATATTATTTTTTTATTTTTTAAAATCGTATTTTTAGCTTTTGTTCTTAAAATCATTATTTATTTAATTGTCCTTTATTTTTATTGTCTTTGTTAACTTATCTTCTTTTAATTTTAAATTTTCAATTTTTATAACTTTAATTCAATTGTACTATCATATTCACCTGTAACTATTTTTAACTTTCTAAACTTTAAATTGTATTTGTTGTAGTTTTGTTATGTATGCCTATATAGTAGTTGATCCAATTGTAATAATATAGGGCGAAAATGACCCAGGTGTTTGAAGAGCCCAAAAATTTATAAATAAAAAATTAAATTGAGCCAGCTTTGTATATGCTTGTTGTCAGGTTATATAAAAGTGTCTTGTCCATATTATTCTGAGTTATGTGTTACAGAAAATCCTGTAACAATCCATTTATACAGAAGCACGTTTTCAAAATGTTTCTTTTGTGGTACTGTACAATACATGAATTTGGATTTTTTTTTTTGAATTATGTTTTTGTTTTGTCAACCTATATTAGTTCATAGATTGAAAGCTTAGATCAGCATATACATTATGTAGAAATGAAAATACTCTAAGCAAAAGGAAAAGGTTAAATCTATTATGAAGAAATCATTAAAATATTTTATCATGTGTGTTAAACAACAAATTCCATTTGATCCAGACTTTTGATGATATGGATGTGGTTTAGCAGTCCCATCTAGTCCAGATTAATGGTCACTGCTGCATGTATAATATTGATATATATATATATATATATATATATATATACATAACATACATATGTACATATATATATATATTTTTTCTTTTGGAATTACATACCATGTAGACCTTTTGCCACTTTAACAAGCCTGCTCCATCTCTGCCTGTCTTGGGCTATTTCTTTTCAGTTATCTGCACAGAGCTCTATTGCATCTTTGTTGATTCTGTCTATCCACCTGCTTTTTGGCCTTTCATGTGGTCTTTTGCCTTCTATTGAGGCATTCATTGTTACTTAGAGGCTTCCAGATGGATATAAATGTACATACATATAAATGTATATATATACATATAAATATATATATATACATATAAATATATATATATATATATATATATATATATATATATATATATATATATATACATTTATATGTATGTACATTTATATCCATCTGGAAGCCTCTAAGTAACAATGAATGCCTCAATAGAAGGCAAAAGACCACATGAAAGACCAAAAAGCAGGTGGATAGACAGAATCAACAAAGATGCAATAGAGCTCTGTGCAGATAACTGAAAAGAAATAGCCCAAGACAGGCAGAGATGGAGCAGGCTTGTTAATATATATATATATATATATATATATATATATATACACACATATATATATATATATATATATACACACACATATATATATATACACTATATATATATATATATATATATATATATATATATATATAAATGTATATATATATATACATAGAAATGTATATATATACACATTCATACATAATTTTTTCTTTAAATCTTGAGCAAAATGTAACATTTAAAAACAATGATTTTATTGAGACAATTTATTTTAACAAAATGTTCTGTGACTTGGAAATTCTTCCACATTCTTTGTTGAAGGAAAATAACTGGTTATCATTTTATAAAATTAATGAGATATCGTCTGTGATTTAGAAAGAAAAAAAAAAAAAAGGAGCTTTGAATGTATTTTTGCTTAGTTGCTATTTTCTGTTTTATCTTTTTATTTATTTTTCTTGAGACTCCAGTTGTTAAATATTCTTTAATTTATATATTCAAGCTATCTTTTACTTTTTAAATTTCCTAGTTTATATAATTATTTTATTTATTTCAGCTCTGATCCTCAGTCATTTGCTGTACCTGTACCCACTTTAGAATTTGCTACGATATGTCTTAGAAATTCATATGTTCTTCTCCCTCCTGGAAGTAACAGCAAGTTAAAGCAAGCTGTATTAGCTGCCTGTTCTTATGTCCATTTGACAATTGGTGACCCTCTAAAAGCTCATAAATATGCTGCTATGCTATATGCGGATGCAACTTGTCATGTCTATAAGTATGTTATTTTCTAATAATTATTTGTTTTAGTTTTTATCAATTTATTTACATATGCTTCTTATGAGTAATCAAGTCCTGTCAGTTTTTGGAATAATTATTATTTTTGTTTCAATCTGTTTTTAAATTCAGTTCAATATTGCTGAATGTGATGCTTGAAGTAAGTTGTGTTTATTAATATCCTATCCCCACTTAAATATGGGAAATACCCATGGCACTGTATCTTGATGTTAATTTTTATTATTTTATTGGGTTGTTCGGAAAATAATGCTCGATTTTGAGTTTTCTTTAAAATACCCCTCTATATAACTGTTTACATTTACTGGATTATTTATTTGTATGATTGTCAACATTTATTAATCCTCTTCCAAACAATAACGTTTGTTTACCTCTATACCATTTCGCTGCTTAGAAATAATTTGGTCTTTACTAAGATGTAAATACGTGATTTTCATATAATTTTGTTTTACGAGTTTAAACTCGGTCGGAATGGGGCCCAGACGGAAAGAAACATCAATCAAGTCTGGGGCAAGAGCAGCATTAATGAGCGCACTTCAACAGTGGTTCAAAAAAATTGGAGATGAAGACTTCAGCCTTGAAGACAAAGAAGGTCGTGGAAGGACTTCCTCTCTTGATGACGATGTTCTATTGGGTTTGGTGGAAGAAAACCCCAGAACAACTGTTAGAGAACTTGCAGGGAAACTTAAAATTACCAAATCGACCATCAATGATCACCTCAAGGCGATTGGAAAGGTAAAAAAGCTTGAAAGTTGGGTTCCATACACATTAAACGACTGCCAAATAAACCGGCGTTATGAAGTTTGTGGCCTTTTTTTTAGACATCTGGCCCATTAATTATGTAAATAAAAAAGTTGTAAATATTTCTTTTTTTTTCTTTTTAAACCAAAATCCTGCATTATTTTCCGGACAACCCAACATTTGCCTCAAGAAAATTTGAGGAGATTACAAGTTTATGTGTCATGTTTCATGCTATTATAAATTTGATTTTGTTACTTTGACATTCACAGTAGATTACAGATCAACTAATCCTTTTTATTAAGTTATATTCCTTTAATAATATTCAAGTTATACTTATACTGAGGTTACTTAAACTCGAAATGTTTTGCATTTTCACTTTTGATTACACAGTAAATTTGATTATTTTCTAAATTTTGTTTAATAGTAGTTTTTCTGATTTTTAGGTATTTGGGCAAACTGTATTTAGCCGAATCTCTTGTGCTTCTTAATAAATTTCAAGAAGCTATTGATGTTTTGAATCCATCCCAGTTTAATGAATGTGATCCTTCACAAGAAGTACAGAAGCATGATTGGTTCCCGAAATCTCAGCTTAGTTCTCAAGCTGTACTTTATTATAATCTTGCAGCTGTCCTCACCATGAATGGGGAAATCGAAAAAGCATCTGATCTACTTAAACATGTAAAAATATTTTAAAGTTTATTTTATTTATTAAAATTTGTATGTAGTTATCGGTTAGTAAAACTTTTCAAGTTTCTTCCAGTAAGCTTGCTTACTGACTTTTGGTTATGTCTGATTGCCCTACTTACAAAGGACAAATTACTCATTTATCACTTATCAATGAAGTCCAGTCAATGAATACTTAGAAAAGAGGGAGGGATTTAGTGGAAAATGGATGGAACACAATTTCTGACATTAAGGCTTTTTTCAGACTATCCCCTCCTCCTCTAGGAGATGAGCTCGATGTGGAGGGGGCCACCCAGATGTTCACTTTTCTTGGTTTAGTGCTTGAATCTGGGGAACCATGCATTGTAGAAATCGAAATAGAAAATCATTTTCATTCTGTGACAAAGTCCCTTAAAAATAACAATATAGTTCATACAAATTAACAATAAATCTGGCCAAAAGACCAATTACAATAAAGAATAACTAAAATATAAGTAATAAAACAATTGTAGTGATCAAGACGTTAGTACAAAATTAAAGATGATAAAATGTTGAACAAGATCAATTATATTAATTTTTTTGCTTTCTCACAATGTTTCTGAGATTTACGTGCTCAATAATAGCTGATTTTGGAAAAAAAAGTTTTTGCCTCACATTTTCATGTTCATTTGCCTAGCCAGCTTTATCTCTTCATTTTATAAAAAAGTCATGAGGAAAAAAATTGGTGAAAATTACATTTTCTTAGAATATATGTTATTTTACTAATCTTATCTTCAACCATTCTAAACTTAGTAATAATAATAATAATAAAAGGCTTAGCGGACCCGAAGGTTCGATGCCGACACCACCAATCGCTTATTACATACCTCCCTCCACCATTCGCCGTCCAAACCCAGTCCCTTCAGATCGGCTTTAATTCAATCTTCCCACCTTCGCTTCGGTCTATCCCTCGGACGCTTACCATTCGGCACAGCAAATATTAACCTTTTAGGAATTCTCTCGTTACTAAGCCCAATAACTTTACAAGCCCATTTGATTCGCCGCGATGAAATTACCTCAATTATATTACCCGGATACAGCTCACGCAATTCGGCGTTGTCTAACCTTCTGAACTCTCCGGTTAACTCATCCTTCTTCGGTCCGAATATTCTTCACAATACTTTATTTTCAAAAACCTTAAGACGCTGCTCATCCCTTAGTGTAAGCGGCCAACATCGCCATTCTCACAGTTAACCATATATTTTGTCTTGTCTGTGGTTATTTCGAGTCCTAGTTCTTTAACGGCTTTCATTAACGTTGTCGTATTTAGTTTTATAGTCTCTGTGTCTTTGCTTAAGAGGATCAGATCATCCGCATAGCCAAGCACGGGTGTTGTCTCCCCCAGAACGAATCCTTTTTTGGAGCACATTACTTCCCTAATGGCATGTTCTAATGCCAAATTGAACAGGACAGGCGAAAGAGAATCCCCTGTTTTAAGCCCGAACGAACCTCAAATTTTTCGGACAAATTATTACCGATTCTAACTTTATTGAGTGTCTCCGTCAAGCACATCCTGACTAGATTTACTAGTTTTTTTGGAATCCCTGCTCGATTAGAATATTATACAGTTTCTGGCGGTCAATAGAATCGTAAGCCTTTTTAAAATCTATATACAGCTGGTGAACAATACCGTTATACTCCAATTTTTTCTCTAATATTTGCCGTAAAGAAAATATTTGATCAATAGTCGAACGATTCCGTCTAAATCCGCATTGGTAGTCTCCGATAATTTCCTCGGTATTCCGTGATTCGACTGGTTAAGATTAAAGTGAATATTTTATAACATACCGGAAGGAGTGAAATTCCTCGATAGTTATTACAATCCGTCCTCGGACCCTTTTTGTGAATCGGAATAAGAATAGATTCTTTCCATTCTTCAGGTAATTTTCGTTCACCCAGATCTTTTTAACCAACCGATGTATTTTAGAAACTCCAGCTTCCCCGCATGCCTTAATTAGTTCAGTAGGAATATTATCGATTCCCGCTGCTTTATATGATTTTAATTTTCCGATAGCTACTTCAACTTCCTCTTTACTTGGTCCTTCTATTAACGGTTCAGCACTCTGGTACTCAGAAGGAGGACACAGATCATAATTTCCCGTATTTAAAATATTGTCAAAGTGGTCCTTAAACTTATTCAATATGTCAACCGGATCGGTCAGAATATTGTTATTATCATCCCTAATTCCAGACGTTACGGGCCCTACATATTTACGTGATCTGTTTATACCTTTGTACATGTCTCTTACGTTATTTTCGATTCTATTAGTTTCTATTTCAATTATTTTATTTTTAAGATACTCCCTTTTTTTATTTTTGAGCAATTTTGTCGTTTCGTTCTTTGAGATTCGGAAGTATTCCAGATTGTCTTCGCTAGGATTATTTAGAGCTTTTAATTTAGCGGCTTTTCTTTTTTCGCACATGTTTAAGCAATCTTCATCAAACCACGGTTTGTTATTCTTATTTTCCTTTTTTCCTAGACACGAGTTACCGACCGCTTTAATATTATCCCTGATCTCTACCATAACTTGTCAATATCCTCGTGGTCCTCGTCAGGAAGCTCTAAAGCTTCAAACCTATTCTTAACATCTAGCTCGAATTGGTTTCTAATTGATGGATTTTTTAATTTTTCAAATTAAAATTCTCAAAATCGAAACGGTTTTCTTTTCTCTTTTTTATATTAAGTTTTTGTCGAAGTTTCGCGATTACTAATTCATGATCCGACCCACATTCTGCTCCGCGATAAGACCGTACATTAATTATACTGCTTTGCCAGCTGTGTTGTATCAAGACATGATCGATTTGATTTCGTGTTTGCGAATCCGGTGATGTCCAAGTATATTTATGAATATCCTTATGTTTAAACGTCGTACTTTTAATTATCAGGTTTTTCGAGATGGCAAAGTTTATCAGACGGATCCCATTATCATTACTATATTCGTGCAAACTTTCTTTACCAATCGTCGGAATATAAACTTCTTCCCTTCCTACCTTTGCGTTCGCGTCACCTACAATTATTTTCATGTAGTTTCGCGGTAGTTTATCATAAACCCATTCGAGTTTATCGTAAAATTCACTTTTGACTTCATCGTCACTGTCTTCGGTCGGACAATGTATGTTTATTAATGCGATTTTAAACCAACGTCCCTGAAATGTAGCTACCGAAATTCTATCACTAAAGAATTGTACGTCCCTCAAAGCGGATAGTAATCTACTCCTAATTAGAAACCCGGTACCTAAACAATGATTCCCGCTTCCTCCGTACCAAATAGTGTACTTTCCTTCCCTCATCGAGCCCTCCCCTGGCCAGCGAACCTCTTGCAGAGCCACGACATCCAAATTGTACCCATTTACCTCATTCGCGACCGATTTTAGCCCCCCTGCTGTGTTTAAACTCCTTACGTTCCACGTACCAATATTTAAATCCCTATATTTCAACTTGCGCCATGAATCCCCTAAAGCAGTCCCCACCCGGAGACCCGAACGGGGGACTAGTTTACCTCCGGATAATGAGCGTTTTACCTTAGGGAGATCCAGACTTGACTTTGTGGTGTTTGGTGAACTAAAGATATGTGAGTAGGGCGTTCAATCCTACGTCACACCCTCCAGCAAGTCTGGTGGGCTACCTCCAGCAAGTACCCTCCCTCCAGCAGAAGTCTGGAGGTCCCCTCCCTCCAGCAAGTCTGGAGGGCCCCTCTCATTGTTGGTCAGCGAGTCCATCGGACTTAGCCGGGAGGAACTTCCAAGGAATTTCCACCGACCATCCCCACATCTGCCACCCGTGGGACGCTCCCCATACGCAGTAATGAGCTCGTGCGAGTTTCTAAAGTTAGAGCAATTATAATTTTGTTTGTTAATTCCAAGATTTTTGCAGAAAAAATAAACTTTCCTATTTATTGTTATTCTAGCGGCTTTATTAAAAGCCGCTAAATTAAAAGCTCTAAATAATCCTAGGGAAGACAATCTGGAATACTTCCGAATCTCAAAGAACGAAACGACAAAATTGCTCAAAAATAAAAAAAGGGAGTATCTTAAAAATAAAATAATTGAAATAGAAACTAATAGAATCGAAAATAACGTAAGAGACATGTACAAAGGTATAAACAGATCACGTAAATATGTAGGGCCCGTAACGTCTGGAATTAGGGATGATAATAACGATATTCTGACCGATCCGGTTGACATATTAAATAAGTTTAAGGACCACTTTGAAAATATTTTAAATACGGGAAATTATGATCTGTGTCCTCCTTCTGAGTACCAGAGTGCTGAACCGTTAATAGAAGGACCAAGTAAAGAGGAAGTTGAAGTAGCTATCGGAAAATTAAAGTCTTATAAAGCAGCGGGAACCGATAATATTCCTACTGAACTAATTAAGGCATGCGGGGAAGCTGGAGTTTCTAAAATACATCGGTTGGTTAAAAAGATCTGGGTGAACGAGAAATTACCTGAAGAATGGAAAGAATTTATTCTTATTCCGATTCACAAAAAGGGTCTGAGGACGGATTGTAATAACTATCGAGGAATTTCACTCCTTCCGGTATGTTATAAAATATTCACTTTAATCATAACCAGTCGAATCACGGAATACGCCGAGGAAATTATCGGAGACTACCAATGCGGATTTAGACGGAATAGTTCGACTATTGATCAAATATTTTCTTTACGGCAAATATTAGAGAAAAAATTGGAGTATAACGGTATTGTTCACCAGCTGTATATAGATTTTAAAAAGGCTTACGATTCTATTGACCGCCAGAAACTGTATAATATTCTAATCGGCAGGGGATTCCAAAAAAACTAGTAAATCTAGTCAGGATGTGCTTGACGGAGACACTCAATAAAGTTAGAATCGGTAATAATTTGTCCGAAAAATTTGAGGTTCGTTCGGGCTTAAAACTGGGGGATTCTCTTTCGCCTGTCCTGTTTAATTTGGCATTAGAACATGCCATTAGGGAGGTAATGCGAACCGAGAA